ATTTAATTAAAGTTAAAAAAAAATAGCCACATGTATTGAATGCTTACTCCATGCCAGACAAGCATTTTACAGAAATTATCTCATTCAATCCTCACAAAAACCTATGATGTAGGCACTATTATTACGCCCACTTTACAGATGGGAAAAGTGAAACAGAAAAGCCAAAGAAGTACCACTGCACCGCGAATAAGAGGAGTCCTGGCAACCTAACTCTATAGACTCCACTCTCACCCCAGGCTATCCTGCCTTCTTTTTTATGTCATTTCATTTAAAACAATTTCATATACTCTCACTCCCATATTAGAATCAGAAAAAGACATTTGTCTAAAACTATTTCCCTGCACTGGAATGTAAGTTCCAAGAGGGCAGGAGCTTTGCTTTGTACTTTGCTATATCCCCAACTTCTTTTTTTGAGACCGAGTCTCAGTCTGTTGCCCAGGCTGGAGTGCAGTGGTGTGATCTCGGCTCACTGCAACCTCTGCCTCCCGGGTTCCAGCAATTCTCTTGCCTCAACCTCCTGAGTAGCTGGGACTGCAGGCACACACTGCCATACCCAGCTAATTTTTTGTATTTTTTTAGTAAAGTTTGGGTTTCATTGTGTTGCCCAGGCTGGTTCGAACTCCTGAGCTCAGGCAATCTGCCCTCCTTGACCTCCCAAAGTGCTGGGATTATAGGCATGAGCCACCGCGCCCGGCCATCCTCAACTTCTAAAACAGTGCCTGGTACAAAATATGACCTCAACTAATGAACTCAATATGAACAAAGAGGGAGATTTCTGGCTTTTGTAGCAGAATATTATCAGAATGATGAGTAAACATCACGCACGGGCCTGGTGCGGTGGCTCACACCTGTAATCCCAGCACTTTGAAAGGCTGAGGCCGGTGACTCACTTGACATCAGCAGTTCAAGACCAGCCTGGCCAACGTGGTGAAACCCTGTCTCTACTAAAAATACAAAAATGAGCCAAGTGTGGTGCCAGGTGCCTGTAATCCCAGCTACTCAGGAGGCTAAGGCAGAAGAATCACTTGAACCTGGGAGGCGGAGGTTTCAGTGAGCTGAGATCGCGCCACTGCACTCCAGCCTGGGTGGAAGAGTGAGTGAGACTCTGTCTCAAAAACAAAACAAAACAAAAAAAATCATGCAAGGCCAATTGGGTTAAGAATGTCCATGGTCTTGTGCAAATTAGCAAGCACAAGCTACTTACCTTTCTCTCTTTTATATTTCTCTATGTTTCTCAAAAGGTTAGGTACAACCATTTTGCAGAGGTCCTCCAGGTATGTCAGATTATCTTCATCTATTTTATCTTGTTTCTCTAGGAATGCCAGTAAACCTAGAGAGGTCTACAAGAGAATCAATAGGATTATACTTACTTCCCTACTGATTATCCACTCACTCAAATGTTACCTGCATGGCCACGAGGCACCAGGTTTTTCACTGATAAATAAGATATGACAGCATCTGCCCTCACGTTGCTCAGGAGTGTAGGGGAAGAGGCATTACCAAGCAAATATGTATACAATCTATATTAATATCAGATACCAAATATATAGAATTACACAACAGGAGCCATGCTTGCTGTATATTAACATTACAACAACTGAATGAGTAGATACTATCATAATCCACATGTTAAAGATGAAATAATTGAGGCACAAAGAGGTTCCAGTAACTTGCCCAAAGTCACAAAGCTAATAAATGGCAGAACTGATACAATCTGATGTCAAAGTCTATCTCGTTAACCACTGAACTCTAACTCACTGCTTTAGGTGATGCTGATGAGGGAACCAGCAAAAGAGGAACACCAAAGAAATGAGGGGGAAATGTTCTGAAAGAATTTTCTATTTGGTGTTTTAAAAGAAAAAGAATTCTCTTTAAAAAAAAAAAAAATCACAATTTGGGCCGAGTACGGTGGCTCACACCTGTAATCCCAGCACTTTGGGAGGCCAAGATGAGCAAATCACGAGATCAGGAATTTGAGACCAGCCTGGCCAACATGGTGTAAACCCCATCTTTACTAAAAATACAGAAATTAGCCAGGCATGGTGGCACGTGCCTGTAGTTTGAGCTACTTGGGAGGCTGAGGAAGGAGAATTGCATCAACCCAGGAGGCAGAGGTTGCAGTGAGCAGAGATCGCATCACTGCACTCCAGCCTGGTGACAGAGCGAGACTCCATCTCAAAAAAAAAAGAAAAAAAATCACAATTTGGCGAGTATTTTTTTATTTTATTATTTTCTTTTATTTGAGACAGAATCTCAGTCTGTTGCCCAGGCCGGAGTGCAGTAGTGAAATCTCGGCTCACTGCAACCTCCACCTCCAGAGTTCAAGTGATTCTTCTGCCTCAGCCTCCCAAGTAGCTGGGATTATAGGCACGTGCCATCACACCAAGCTAATTTTTTTATTTTTAGCAGAGACGTGGTTTTGTATTTTTAATGGTAAGTACTAGATTACTTACCTGCCATTGGAAGAGGGCCTGAACACCCCTCAGCCAAAACAGAAAGGTTCTAAATTCATATGGTCTCTCTGGGGGAATACAAATAACCTTGCCTTTGTAGGGGGTTCTGGGATTTCTCTTTGATAGCTTTCACAGAAACGTAACCAGTATAGCTGGCCTACACGCATCCTGAGAGATCTAACAACTGTCAGGAAATCCGTTCTCAGCATAGCAATCAGCATAGAATGCTGAGTCTAGAGGAAACCACACCTGAACCTACTAACTCTTAAGCAAAGAAACAGAGCAAGAACTTTTAGACCTTTGCTGCTAGTATTTGCCAGAGTGGCATTCTTAAACTAATGTCCAGGTCCCATTTAAATGTGTGTGTGTGATGTACTAAGCACCTAATAAACTTTTAGAAAGTATAATGAAATTTCCATAATTACTTCTGGAATCACATCTTAGCTCCTTGTATTCCTCCTGGTAGGATGTTTCAAGACATGAGTTTCTGGCTGGGCGGGGTGGCTCACACCTGCAATTCCAGCACTTTGGGAGGTCGAGGCGAGTGGATCACCTGAGATCAGGAGTTCAAGACCAGCCTGGCCAACATGGTGAAACCCCCATCTCTACTAAAAATACAAAAATTAGCTGGGTGTGGTGGCAGGCACCTGTAATCCCAGCTACTCAGGAAGCTAAGGCAGGAGAATCACTTGAACCCAGGAGGTGGAGATTGCAGTGAGCCGAGACGGCGCCATTGCATTCCAAACTGGACAGTAAGAGTGAACTCTGTCTAATAATAATAATAATAATTCTGTAGCCACAGATGGCTTCAAGTAAAGTTCTAGAACCTGTGCAAACAAATGAGAAAAAAAAAAAAAAAAAAACCTTTTCCAGCTTTTCTTATTTGAAAACTAACACTCAGTGTTGGGCATATCAGAGACTGCTTTAACAAATGACCTTTCTCTCATCCCTCACCCCCACCTCATATTGTTCAGAGAGTTCTTAACATAGGATGGGGTATAACAATAAAAAGTGGTCTCATTTTGTTTACAAACCTAGACACTGGAACATTTGTGAGTGGATGCCCCGACTTGGGAAATAATGTTGTCAAAACCACCCGGAGAGCTTGTCAAACTGCAGGAATCTACTCTGACTTTGAGAAATTCTGCATTTAAGGTATAATGCTGCCATTTTAGCAGGAAATTGCTTTGCGCCACTGCAAACGTGGACACTGAAATTTAATGGCAGAAGCAGAATATCCTTACGATGCTTTACATAAAAGTATTCCCTAAAACAAAATCCCGTTTTTAAAAATTCTCCAAGAATTATTAACCTTTAGATCGTGTGTGTGTGTGTGTGTGTGTGTACATATATATGTATATGTGTATGTGTATATACGTAGTGTATGTGTGTATATACATATATAAACTCAAAAGCAACAAGCATGCCAGCATCTAGTTTGTGGTCTTGAAATGACATCTCTCATTAAAAGAAACCAGGGCTTTTGGGAGAAATGAGAGATTCTAGGACTGGGCAGAAAATATGCAAGAGGAACCTGAAATATTTTTGCCAGATAGTAAAGAAGCCATCAAAGACTATTAAGGTCATGTCAGAATGACAGGAACCAAACTGAAGATGCATCCCCTGGAAAAAAAAAAATGGGACAACTGAACTTTTTTCTTTCTTTCCCTTTTTTTTTTTTTTTTTTTTTTTTTGGAGACAGGGTCTCACTCTGTTGCCCAGGCTGGAGTGCCATAGCACAACCATTGCTCACTGCAGGCTTGACTTCTTCTCTGGGCTCAAGTGATCCTTTCACACCAGCCTCCTGAGAAGCTGGGAATCACGTCCGGCTAATATTTGTGTTTTTTGTAGAGACCGGGTTTTGTCATGTTGCCCAGTCTAGTCTCAAACTCCTGAGGCTCAAGGGACCTGTCTGTCTCAGCCTCCCAAAGTGCTGGGATTACAGGCATGAGCCACCATGCCTAGCCTCAATTTGAACTTCAGTAAGGATAATAATTGCAATAGATTGAAACACCTCATATATGTTTAATCCATGAGTTTAAATTTATATCTATTTTGTAGTGGGTCACCTGCAGAGAATGATAAGAAACCAATTAACTTAAAACCTGGATAACTAGATGGAGCACAGCGGTTCACGCCTGTATTCCCAGCACTTTGGGAGGCTGAGGACAAAAGTTTGAGTCCAGCCTGGCCAACATAATGAAACCCCATTTCTACTAAAAATACAAAAATTAGCCAGGCATGGTGGTAATGCTTGTAATCCCAGATATTCAGGAAACTGAGGAAGGGAAATCACTTGAACCCAGGAGGCAGAGGTTGCAGCGAACCAAGATCACACCACTGCACTCCAGTCTGGGTGACTGAGTGAGGCTCTGTCTCATTAAAAAGAAAAAAAAGAAAACTGGATAACTAAAAGAATCAAGGATTTACATATAAGCTGTATCACTGGGTAACCAAATAGTAGATGAGGGGAAAACGAAATGATAGAATTCTAATATCTGGCTGGGTGCAGTGGCTTACGCCTGTAATCCCAGCACTTTGGAAGGCTGAAACGGGTAGATCACCTGAGGTCAGGAGTTTGAGACCAGCCTGGCCAACAAGGTGAAACCCCATCTCTACTAAAAATACAAAAGGTTAGCTGGGCATGGTGACACACACCTGTAATTCCAGCTACTTGGAAAAGAATCACTTGAACCCAGGAGGCAGAGGGTGTAGTGAACCAAGATCGTGCCATTGCACTCCACCCTAGGTGACAAGAGCAAGACTCTGTCTCAAAAAAAAANAAAAAAAAAAAAAAAAAAAAAAAAAAAAGAATTCTAACATCTCCATTTTTGCAACCCCTAAAAATTCAGTAAATAAAACAGTTGCTAATATCGAAGAGAGAGAGAAACTCAGGTACCTCCTGATGAAAAAACAAGACTACCTATAATCCTGCCAAACAAATCTGACCTGAATCTGATGAAACTCTGGATTCAGCTGCCAGTCTGCAGGAAACGCAGAGGACAGAGGAACTTGTACCACAAGTGTGCAATCAGCAAAACCCAGCCTGGGAGAAACTCCACAGGCCAACTGCCGAGAGGTTCTTCAACAGATACATTTTAAGAAAAAGAAAGAGATTTGGGGGCAGGGAGGAAATCTAACCTATAGATTAAAAGACACTTGAAAGAAAAACTGGACAAGGCCAGGCGCATGGCTCACGTAATCCCAGCACTTTGGGAGGCCGAGGTGGACAGATCACCTGAGGTCAGGAGTTTGAGACCAGCTTGGCCAACATGGTGAAACCCTGTCTCTACTAAAAATACAAAAATTAGCCAGATGTGGTGGCGGGCACCTGTAATCCCAACTAATTGGGAGGCTGAGGCAGGAGAATCACTTGAACCCAGGAGGCAGAAGTTGCAGTAACCCAAGATCACATCATCACAGACCATCTCAAGAAAAAGAAAGAAAGAGAGGAAGGAAGGAAGCAAGGAAGGAAGGAAGGAAGGAAGGAAGGAAGGAAGGAAGGAAGGAAGGAAGGAAGGGACTGAACAAAAGTATATTTGAGGTCTAGGGAAGCCCAGTTAAGTGATAAAACCATAAAGAAACACATCAGAATAATGCAGTTCCTTAAAAGCCAGGACAGCAGTCAGTTCTAGGGGCCAAGAAGGGGCCGTGACTGGGATTGGGTAAATAGAGAGCTTTCTAAAGTAGTTAACAAAATTCTGTTTCTTTTTTCCTTTTTCTTTTCCTCTTTTTCTTCACTTTTTAAATTACTGTCTATTAATTTGTTTTGAAAACACGCAGCATAAAAGAATATAGAGAAAATTCAGATGACACATTATACAATGTCATTCTGCATTTTGCTAAAACACAAAATTGAACTTCTTGATCTGGGTGAGGGTTTCAAGGATATTAGCCTTATAATAATACATTAAGTTGTGTATTTGTTTTGTGTCATTTTCTGTGCCCGTGTTTTGTTGGTTGGGTTTTTGGGGGTTTTTTTGAGACAAGGTTTCACTCTTCTGTGCAGGCTGGAGTATAGTGGTGTGACCATAGCTCAGTGAAGCCTCGACCTCCTGGATTCAAGTGATTCTCCCACCTCAGCCTCTAGAGTAACTGGGACTATAGACGTGCACCACCACACCAGGTGTAATTTTTTTTTTGTAGAGACAAGGTCTCACTATGTTGCCCAGGCTGGCCTCAAACTCCTGGCCTTAAGCAATCCTCTCACCTCGGTCTTCCAAAGTGCTGGGATTACAGGTATGAGCCACTGTGCCCAGCCTGTTTTTGTTTTTGTTTAATTTTTAACAATAAAAAGATAAACAGAGGCATGCCAATGAAAAAGCACAGAACTTCCAGGGGCCATCTAAGTAGGAAAGTAGTAGATTCTGACAAGGGACCACAGCTATGAGAACGTTGTAAACCCAACTGTGTTCATCCTGCCAATCCCCTAATTATTCATTATAAACTCCCACAAATAGAAAGGGTTCAGGCAGCTTTCTGAGAAATAAAGGAAGAGAAACATCGTCCCTTTCATTCATGCGTTCATTCAGATCACCTAAACACCATTTCGTAATAGATTATGAAAGGTCCTGGAATTTAACAATGGGTAAAACTCAGTTCCCACCCCCAAGGATCCTCACAGCCAATCTTTGGAGAAAGGAACCCCAACAGGTAGAGAAGTGGTGACCAATCAGAAGAACACAAGAGGCTGAAATCCCTGAGGGCTCTAAAAAAGAGGAAAAAATGACTCAAAGGTTTTACCTCAGACACTATTAACTTTCCCAGACCTACAGGCCTGACACCAGGAAACATATTTAATAAATTATTAAATAGTTCTCATTGTATCTACTACATGTAAAACAGTTTCTCATTCCACAGTGATTTTATTTCAAGCTATTTGTCAATAATATCAGTTAATCTGGGAACAATATATATGCAGGCTTTTGATGTTTTCATTCAGAAGTTGAAAAGTGGCCAGGAGTGATGGCTTACGCCTATAATCTCAGCACTTTGGGAGGCCCATGTGGGCAGATCACTTGAGGTCAGGAGTTCGAGACCAGCTTGGCCAACATGGTGAAACCCCATCTCTACTAAAAACACAAAAATTAGCCAGCCATGGTGGCATGCGCCTGTAGTCTCAGTTACTTGGGAGGCTGAGGCTGGAGCATCCCTTGAACCTGGGAGGTGGAGGTTGCAGTGAGTCGAGATTGTGCCACTGCATCCCCCCTGGGCAACAGAGTGAGACTCTTATCTCAAAAAAATTAAATTAAATTTTAAAAAAATTTACAAAAAGAAGTTTGATGGTGGGTTTATGGCTGTTCACTTTATTATTTTGTTTCCCTTTTTTTGGAGACAGGGTCTTGCTCTATCACCCAGGCTGGAGCGCAGTGGTGCAATCACAGCTCACTGCAGCCTCAACCTCCCTGGCTCAAGCAAGTCTCCCACCTCAGCCTCCCGAGTAGCTGCGACTACAGATACATATCACTAAGCCCAGCTTATTTTTGTATTACATTTCATAACTTCCATACATGTTATATGTATTCTTTTGAATTTTAAAACATTAGTCAACCTAAAATCTAACAAAAATAGCAGTTGAATAACAAGTTAATGCTGTAGGATAAAATTTGAAAATTGCCCCCTTCCCAAATTAACTAACTTGCTCATCACAAGTTGTTACTAAAGTCAAAAGCAAAAACATATATAAAGTTTTGAGGCCCAGAAGAGCTACTTCTCTGCCCTTAAATGTGACCAATACAGCAATATTAGCAGATAGCAGTTATATTAATATTAAAAATATTACAATTGACTCAAAGCACCTGTACAGCCCTTTACAAAGCACATCCTCAAACATTTGTCTCATTTGATTTTCACAGAAATTCTACCTGAGAGAAACTGCAGAGTCCACTAAAAGAGACACTCAGGCTCCTTTCAAAACCTGATCTAAAGTAAAAGGATGAAGAAATAATTTCCACTCTGCCATTGTTTACCACTTCTGCATTTCCTCATGTGTAAAAACCTTTTTACATCATAAAACACAGTGGATGGGCCAGGACAGTGGCTCACGCCTGTATTCCCAGTACTTTGGGAGGCTGAGGTGGGCAGATCACAAGGTCAGGAGTTCGAGACCAGCCTGGCCAAAATGGTGAAATCTCATCTCTACTAAAAATACAAAAATTAGCTGGACATGGTGGTGCGTGCCTGTAATCCCAACTACTCGGGAGGCTGAGGCAGGAGAATAGCTTGAACCCAGGAGGCAGAGGTTGCAGTGAGCCGAGACTGTGCCTCTGCACTCCAGCGTGAGCAACAGAACAAGACTCCGCCTCAAAACAAACAAAAAGAAACCCACAGCGGATGCCAACAGAAGTGAGCATTTACCGTATGCTATGCCAAATATAGGCCTCATGCTAATGCTTCATGCACATTGTTTCAGCTAATTCTCCCAACAGACCTAGAAGGAAGTCATATGATTGCCCACAGTTTTACATCTAAGAAAGCAGAGACTCAGAAAAGTTCAGTCATTGGCCTCACCACATGGGTTTAGAAGCAAAATCAGGACCAGAATCTAGGCTCACCTAACACCAAAGTCAGTGTTCCTAACCGTTGTATGATATTGTCTCCCACAAAAAATAAATCTCCCTAAAAACCCTTTACAGCATCTTCCTCATCATTGATTGAGACAGTGCTCACACAGACCCCATTCTATATGACCCACTCACCATTTCGGTTTTGGGAAGCAATTCTCCAAGAAGGAAGATCATGTCCTTTAATTTCTCTTTGTCAATGCCTTCTGACACTTCGTAGAGCAGGTTTCTGAGACACACAATCAAAATGACAAAAAAAGCCTTACACTTGCAGAAGACACCATAATCAATCAAGTGTTTTCATAAATGTTTTCTGTCATTTGAATGATCAACTCAGTGTGTAGACAATTATTAATCCCATTTAGAGATTCAAAAAATGAAAACTTTCAGTTTCTGAGCGACTTGTTTAAATGAAGATAACAAAGTAAGTATTAGAGGCAGGCCTTCTGATTCCAAGTCTAGTGCTGTTTTTCACCACACTAACAAGGCATATTTTAAAAAAGGCATAAAACACAATTCTGACATGCCCTCCCATCTCCTTATTCCAACTAGAAATTCAGACTTACTTTACACACACTTGGTAGAGAGGACCCCAAGCCAGCCAAGGTACAGTCGGTTGTATATTGAAAAGGGAAGAAAACCATCCCAGCTTCGAGATAGTTATATAATCCACAATCAGAAAAAGTGAGTATTTCATCCACATACTAACACCCCTACATGTCAGAGACATCCTTCAGATGTCTAGTGAGCAGAATGGAAATATGGATTTCTGGAATTCATCATTCCTTTCACTGACTCAAGGGCAGCTCAGGTTCTGGGAGCCAGCTCCACTGCTAAGGCTCAATGTATTCTAATCACCTAGACCATAAAACACCCTCCAAGGCTCTTCTTCGTGAGGTTCTCTGATCTGGACACTATGTCAGTGAACAATTTTAAACACTGTCATCGGCCAGGCACAGTGGCTCACGCCTGTAATCCCAACACTTTGGGAGGCCGAGGTGCCTAGATCACTTGAGGCCAGGAGTTCCAGACCAGCCTGCCCAACATGTTGGAAACCCTTTTTCTACTAAAAATATAAAAATTAGCCTGGTGTCGTGGTGGGTGCCTATAGTCCCAGCTACTCAGGAGGCTGAGGCAGGAGAATTGCTTGAACCCAGGAAGCAAAGTTTGCAGTGAGCTGAGATCATGCTACTTCACTTCATCCTGGGTGACAGAGCAAGACTCTGCTTAATAATAAAAATAAAACGCTGTCATCCATGATAAGACCAATGCCTAAATTTTACCTCTTTGGGAAAAATGCCTATTTTTACCTCTCTGGATTTCCACCCAAAAATATATAAATATCTATAACTAGACATGGCATAAATGACATCCCTTCCTACCCCGGAAACATATCTCTTTTTTTAATCTTGCTTATTTCACTCCAAATATGCCTTACTCTCTTCTCAAGACCCCGTGAAATAGGTAGACAGACCAGAGGATCCCAAGAGGGAGAAGATCCACACATGTGGTGGCTGGTAACCAGGGAAAATGCAGGCTTGGCCACACTGAGATGGACTTCACTGCTAGTGAGAAGCAAAACAAAGGGAAGCCACCTCCAGACCCAGAGCTTGGTCTTGAAGCTTTTCTGACCTCCCACCTCTCATCTCATTAGCATCAGAGGCTGAGAAGGAGGTTTAGAGCCTCCTGGTTTATCATTCAAAAAGATAGATAACCAAAAGATATATATTGTTTTTGAGATGGAGTCTCGCACTGTTGCCAGGCTGGAGTGCAGTGGCGCAATCTTGGCTCACTGCAGCCTCGCCTCCTGGAGGATCAAGTGATTCTTCTGCCTCAGCCTCCCAAGTAGCTGGGACTACAGGCGCATGCCACCACACTCAGCTAAGTTTTGTATTTTTAGTGGAGACAGGGTTTCACCATGTTGGCCAGGATGGTCTTGATCTATTGACCTCGTGATCCGCCCACTTCAGCCTCCCAAAGTGCTGGGATTACAGGCGTGAGCCACCTCACCCAGCCACCAAAAGATCTTAACTGCAGCTTTCTTTCAAAACCCAATGGCCAGAATGAACACTAGATGGGAGATCCTCCCATCTTCACCGCAGACGCGTCCTCACCTGAACAGAGAGACCCTTCTTTGGGCGGGCAGCAACTGCTCCACTTTCTCTTTGGTGTAGTTGAGGTACTGCAGCAGCTTCTTCTGCCCTATGATATAGAGGAGTTCCGCCAGGAAGAAGGGGTCGCTCTCACTCAGCAGATCCTCTGCCAAGAGATGTTCAAAAACATCCGAGGCTGAGCTGGACTTCTCCAGCTTCTTGTGGGGGACCAAGCCTATGCAGAGAAACTTGAGGTGCTCCACATCTTCGACTCCCAGGTTTGAACCAATAATCAGAAGCTTCTCACGAAAGGTCCCTTTACAGTTTTTATCTGAATGTGGACCTTGAGAGCTCATGGTCAGCCTGAAAGAGACAGAGAGGTGAGGCAGGGCGTTAGAGAGTGAGGACATATGGCACCCTGACTTCCCAGGCCCTCCCCTCCTCGCAGCCTCCTCCGTTCTGGGCATTAGACTTTCCTAGAAGTACTGAAAAATAAAAATTACTTTGAGGCTACTTCAAAAACCAACAGCCCAGAAAACTTTGCCCCAACACTTACAAGTTACTTTTTAGGAAGCTTGGAGGAAGTTTATATTGAAATTCAATTCATCTTGATTTCTCCCAAATCAAAATGTGCCCAGAGGGAGAAAGTTAAGATGGAGGGACACAGCACCATTTCTCTCAAGCCTGGCAGCCTGATTGGAGCCATTACGTTCATCTCCACCAGTGGCAGAAATAGCACTTGGATCTATGCTTTAAGTTTTAGAAACAGAGGCTGGGCACAGTGGCTCATGCCTATAATCCCAGTACTTTGGGAGGCTGAGGCAGGCGAATCACCTGAGGTCAGGAGTTTGAGACCAGCCTGACCAACATGGAGAAATCCCATCTCTACTAAAAATACAAAATTCGCCAGGCATGGTGGTTGGTGCCTGTAATCCCTGCTACTCAGGAGGCTGAGGCAGGAGAATCGCTTGAACCCAGGAGACAGAGGTTGCAATGAGCCGAGATCATGCCATTGCACTCCAGCCTGAATGACAGGAGTGAAACTCTGTCTCAAAAA